TCTGTCTGTCTGTCTGTCTGTCTGTCTGTCTGTCTCTCTCTGTGGTGCTGAACTTACCTGCTGATCGATGGATTCTCATTCTGGATCAATAATCATCAGTTTTAACATTTCTTCCTCATATTTAGTGAATCTGATCTTTTTGAAACTTAGCTGTATTGGAGACGAGGACGATGACGTCACAGTCCAACAGTTCCTGTTGAACACCTGAGACCAAGTCCTCAAACTCACCTGAGTCCTCGTGGAGTGATGGAGGAGATTTCTGCCTCCGGAGGCTCCGGGTTCCGCATCGACTCTCTGCTCTCCCTCAGGCCGCCGGGCGCGCTCCTCTCCCGGGCACACCCTCCGGAGCTCAGCCCGGGCGGCTGCTCGGCGCCTCCTTCCCCGAGGAGAGAGCCTGTTCTCCGTCTGCAGTGTGCGCTGCCGTCCGGTCACCAGCAGCAGCCCCGCATCGTCGGCTCCTCGTTCCTCATCCGGGACATTTTAGCGGACTGCCGGCATTACTCGGACCCTGGACTGGTCTACTCGGACCCGGGACAGCAGTCCGGACCGGAAGAAGACTTTCAGGATAAAAGTGTGAGCGGCTCTGACAGTGAAACCAGAGGTGAGACACCACAAATAATGTTCATGAAATATCAAAGTTATTTCATCATTTTAATGAAACGTTAGTGATGAAAAAGAGACAAAGTGAAATAAATCAACTCCTTTAATCTGTTAATGTGACCAGAAGACTTTTCAATATAATAATAATAATATATGTTATTGATGATTTCATATTTTTGTCTGATTTAAAACTCAAAAACACTCGAGACAAAATGTGAAGAATGTTTTTATTAAAATATGAATTTATTTATTCTCATTTGATTTCGTTCTGAGCTTGTTTAATATATGATCAAATCATATGTTAGAGGCATTAATGTGGATTCATGTGTTCAACATTCAGCGCAGAGTTAAGAATGATCCTTTATTTATATTCGTTATTATTTGGGTTTCAGCAGTTTGTTACATGTTCATCTTTCTTCTGTTTTTATTGAAATCAAAAGAAATTCATGTATTTTTATTGCTTTTGATGGTTTTAATAATAATAAAAAATAACATGTCGGAGCTGCTTATTAATTATTGATCAGAAATTGTTTCCGAACAAATCTTAAATTACAAACATGAGTGCGGACCTTAAACCTACCGTGTATCTACATAAATACATTTATTGATGGTTTTGATGATGGATTCTGATTTAAACATGATGATGATGATGATGAGATCAAAGCGTCTGCACGTGGTGATGGATGTAAATCTGTTCAAACATTTCTCTTCTCATCCTTTTAATCTACAAACTGAACCTTTGGGGGTCTCTCTGAGACCTGAAACCAGGTCTAGATAAAAACTTGACCCCCCTGTGACCTCACTGCGTGGCATTCAAGGCCCCTTGAAGCCCGCTTTACCCGTGAAATCCAGTTTAAAACTCAGTCTCATTCAGTTCACAGACGTCAGAAAACTAGCAGACGTATTTAAAGTATTCAAATATTTTGTTTTTGTTATGATCACATTCATATTCATTTAAGAATATTCACTTAATGTTTTCAGCTCAGATTCATTTTCAGAAAACAGATTCAGGACCTGCAGAGATCCAGAGGTCAGTAATAACTCCAGGACTAAATGCTCACTGACCAATCACCTAACAGGTCTTATGTGATGTCATGTCTACCTGTCAATCACTCAGTGGGCGGGCCCTCAGACCCGGCGATGGAACGTCTGAAGAAACCTCGTAAAGCTCGGACTGCGTTCAGCGACCAGCAGCTGTCGAAGCTCGAGAGAAGCTTCCAGAAACAGAAGTACCTGAGTGTCCAGGACCGCATGGAGCTCGCTGCTTCACTGCAGCTCAGCGACACCCAGGTCAAGACCTGGTACCAGAACAGGAGGTAACATATACAGGAAACATACAAGACCTGGTCCCAGAACAGTAACGTATACAAGAAACACGAGACCTGGTCTGTCTGTGGTCGTCTTGTCTCTGTGTGGTCGTCTCGTGTCTCTGTGTGGTCGTATTGTGTTTCTTTGTGGTCGTCTTGTGTCTCTTTGTGGTCGTCTTGTGTCTCTGTGTGGTCGTCTTGTGTCTCTTTGTGGTCGTCTTGTGTCTCTGTGTGGTCGTATTGTGTTTCTTTGTGGTCGTCTTGTGTCTCTTTGTGGTCGTCTTGTGTCTCTTTGTGGTCGTCTTGTGTGTGTGGTCGTCTTGTGTCTCTTTGTGGTCGTCTTGTGTCTCTGTGTGGTCGTCTTGTCTCTGTGTGGTCGTCTTGTGTCTCTTTGTGGTCGTCTTGTGTCTCTTTGTAGCTGATCTTCATCAGTAGATGGTAAATTTAAAATATATAACTGCATAATATAAAGCATCTAATACAAGACATGAGATAAACATTAAATAAATACATAAGGGTCAACATTTACAATACGAGAGCTAATTTACTACCAGAACAAAACAAAATTATTTTAGTTGTCTGTCTCAGATTAATAATGAACAAAGTGTGATTAATAGTTCAGCAGTGTGTGCTGTAATCAATGATTAATAATTAATGCAGAAACAAATCTGGAGCTTTTAGTGCAGAGTCACAGCGAGCAGCACTGATCTATTATTAATTCATTCATTGTTATTGCTCCACGCCCACAAAGAATCCTGTGCTGTGATTGGCCGGATCGTCTACATGAATCATCATTTGGACAGTTTGGGTCGAACGATCTCGACTTTATTCAGAACTCATTGTTTTGAAGGATTTCTTTTAATTTTTCGACCAAAGACATAAAAGATTTAATGTGTTTGATTATAAAAAGCAAAGATAAAAGGATATGTTTAAATGTTAACTTCTACGTAAAAAGATGAATTTTATCTTGTGTGACAGGAAATAATAAATAAAATGTTCATCGATGATCTTTAATAAATAAACTAATAACTTGTAAATAAGAAAACAAGATAAAACCTTGTGGGATCAGGTTTACATGTTCAGGGCTCAGATCCTGGTATGTTGTTAAATTATGAATACTAAGATGATGAACATGTTATGAATCGTGTTCCTCCCACAGAACGAAGTGGAAGCGTCAGTCAGCTGTTGGTTTGGAGCTGCTGGCTGAAGCCGGCAGGATGTTCCTGCCCACACACTTCCTGTATCCTCGTGCCCCGCCCACACCGGACCTCTACCTGTACCGAGGCCCTGCCTCCCACCACCAGGTCCCGCCCCTGCTTCCTCGAGTCCTAACCCACAGCGGACCACACCCCCACTGACACCGGCACGCTGGTAGCACTGGTTTCTACAGAACGTTTGATTATTAAAGTGATGAAAGAGACTTCTATTGATCCTCTTCAGCTGCAGGATGTTCCTGACGACATGGTCCTGGTCCTGGTCTCTGGTTCACGACTCGACACTGGCTAGAGGGACCAGTTCCTGGAACTAAACCTGGACCCTGGTCAGGAGTCAACTCCAGGTTGAGGTACTTTCAAGTACTGGAGGCAATGACGTCGCTCATGATTGGTTGAGCAGGTGTGACATCACATCACGTTAAAAAGGACCACAGGTTGTTCAGATGGAGGCTGGACCAGAAGATAAACTAAACGTGGTTCTGTCCTTAATGTCGGACTCAAAGTTCAAATCTGAGAGACGAAGACGACTAGTTCAGTTTTTTATATTTACAATAAATATGCAAATCATTGTTGATGTTACTCCGTTACGGTTGGTTTTGTATCTTCAATGTTTCTGATTAAACAAAGTGTGAAAGAACTGAAGAGTCTTCTTACGGATTGTATTTTGGCTTTAAGGGTTTTAGATTGGACTCATCTGGTACTTATTCTGGTTTCATGGGGTTTGGTAAAGTCCTGGTTGGTCTGGACTCACGGTGACAGGGGCCTGGTCTCTGACTGGTCCCGGTCTTAGTCCTGGTCTCATGAGGCTGACTGGGACTCTGTTGGGTGTTTGGACTCATCTAGAGTTCAATCAGCGGATTGTTCCACAAGATAAACAGAACCATCGGAGTTTATTGATCATGAAGTTTCATCAATCATTTGATGAGAAGGTTCATTAAATCAGATCCACATGAACAGATCGATTAATGATGAAATATTAATGATGTTAAGAGACCATAAACCTTTTCTCTTTAACAGAAACTCTTCAACCAACTGAGCTTCTAAACATTTTAATATTTAGTTCTTACTGTAGAAATACCACAGTATTATTGTAGTATTACTGTAGAGTTACTGTAGTATTACTGAATATACAGTATGAAGTAAGACTGCGTTCACACAACTTCATTGTTTTGTCTTCGAGAGCAAAGAAAACATTTTATTTTCCAATAAATCTTCATCAGAGTACAAAAAACATGTTTTTTATATTTAAATATCCGACAAACATCTTCATCACATATTTCTGAAGAACTAAACAATGAATCATCTTCAGTTCAGTTTGTCCAAAAACAGTTTGTTTCTAAATGTTTCTCCTGAAAGTCAATAAAGTCAATAAAAACACATTCACTGTTTAAAAAGAGTGAAGAAGCTGTTGACCAATCAGAGAGCAGCACCGGAGGATCCTTAAGGACAAAGTTTCAGAAACTTGAAATGTGTTCAGACGGAACTAAAGCGTCATGTTTGTTTCCTCAACACTTCACTGACGACATCAATGTCTTCTGAACACCTGACGGGGAAGAAGGAATCTGACTGGCTGGATCAGGCGGCTGTCTGCAGCTCGTCTCCTCTGCTCACCTCCTACTCTTCCTCCTCCTCTTCCTCTCCTGACTGACCAAACTTGTTCTTGTTCTTCTTCTTCTTCTTGCCGTCTGCTCCCTCCAACCCGCTGGAGAACTCGGAGTGCAGCAGCTGACGGGCGGAAAACCTGAAGACGAGGAAAACATCCACGAGTCTGGTTTCAGTCTCGTGTCACTGAGAGTCAAAGCTACAACAACAACCGTAACACTACAATACTTCAACACCGTAACACTTCAACCTCAACACTACAACCTTAACACTACAGCCTTAACACTACAACACTTCAACCGTAACACTACAACCTCAACACTACAACCGTAACACTACAACCGTAACACTACAACCGTAACACTACAACCGTAACACTACAACCGTGATGCTTCAACACTAAGACCTGTGGCTCAATAACAGTGATGATTAATAATAACAAAGAACAAATGTACTGAAGGAGAAATGCACACAATGTATCTAACCAATGTCGTGACACCATTACACAACCAGCACCCAAAGGATTGTGGGATACTGGTGGAGGGACACACACACCTGTAATTATGTCTCTATTGACCACTGGCAGTGTGTGTGTTGTTGTTAACAGCTGCTCCTCACAGCAGGCTTGTCTGGACACGGTGTGACCGACCACACACACACACACACACACACACACACACACACACACACACACAC